CATTCTTATTGGTTAATAGAAGTATAGCTTTCTGTCACGTCCGATACATACATTAGCTTTCAGCCAGGTCCGAGTTATTCTGAAACTTAATCTCATTCTTTATGTTATTTTTGATTGGTTATTTATTATGTCTTGTTTATGATTTGTTAAACCATGATCTGTTGTAAAGTTATATATATGACCTCTGTAACCGCTTATCTCTGCTTGTGCTTGTATTACTCGATTGCTTGTATTTCTTTGCATGTAACTCTGCGTGTATCTCTGCATATCTCAGTAATAAATATTTGTTTTGCGAACCACGGCATTTTCTATGTTTAACAGCAGAGCGTGGTTCTTCAAAAGTTAGAATTCGCTGATAGTTTCCCTAATTGAACCTTCAGTGTAATAATTTATTGTTCGCTTGATTTTGTTTTGGTGTTTCGTGATTGATGGCTTTTTCCGGAAGTGAAAGGAAGCTTTTGGTGTTGCGCCATTTGATGATGTTAATAACTTTACTGTTTGGTGTCGAAGAGTTCAAGCAGTATTTACGGCAAGGGAATTGGATACATTTTTTGAAACAGAAGCAATTGCGGATAGAGTTGCAGATGTTTTGAAATCAAAAAAGGCTTATTCCTTAATACTTGGGCTTCTAAGTGATAATGTTATTACTTCTCTTCAACGTGAAGACATGGCATGTAAAATATGGAAGAAACTACAAGCTACGTATAGCGCTAAAGGTGCAGTGAGTCAAATTTTAACGCGTAAACGTCTAGCTACCATAAGGAAATCCAAGGATGTGTCAATGAGACAGCATATCGACAGCATAATGAACTTGGTGAGTAGTCTATGCGTCTCTGGCTCTGAAGTAAGCAACTTTGATATTATTATTTACATTTTAATGTCTTTACCAAAGAAATATGAAAATATTAAGGCATCTCTAGAAAATCAACCAACTGATTATTTGAGTTTGGATTTTGTTACAAGCAGACTTATTGACTGTGAATTGAATCTCTTATGTTTGATTATAAAAGTGAAAATAAGTATTCTAAACCAAATACGGATAATTCTGTTTTGATTAGTGCTCGTAAAGAATTGTTTTGTACTTATTGTAAAAGAAAAGGACATTCTTTAAATTTTATAGAAAAAAGAACTGCGTCTGTCATAATTGTGGGAAAACTGGTCTCATTTCAAAAGTGAATGTTTGGATAATTATAAAAAGCAGGCAAATTGAAATAGTAATAAGATTGCATCCCCTGCAATATCTTTTATGGATGGAAATCTTGTGCATGATCAATTTATTATTGATTCTGGTGCAACTTCTCATATGTCTTCTCACAAGGAATGGTTTACCTCAATTAAGCCTAAGACTGGAACTGTTAAGTGCGCGGCGGTTTAGAAGTGGAAGTCGGCAGTTTTAGAAGTGGAAGGATTTGGTGATATTTGCGGTAAAAGTAAGAATGGTGTTGAAATAATGTTAAAAGATGTTCTTTACATTCCAAAATTAAACGGACAATTAATTTCTGTCAAAAATATTGAAGCAGCAGGTTTGAGCGTAATTTTTAAAAATGAAATAGTTTATATTGAAAACAAAACCTCTCTATACACCTTTCCTAAATGGTGTTGCTGAACGAGCAAATAGAACTGTACTGGAAAAAGCTAGAGCAATGATACTTGAGGCGGATTTACCAAAATTCCTTTGGGGTGAAGCAGTACATACGGCTGCTTACATATAAATAATTGAACTCCCCGAATAGTTCAATCGACAAATTGTGTTCCTTATTTTCTGAAGTATGGTGAAAATCCTGATTTGAACAAACAATGCATCTATTTGGCTGTGATGCTTATTACTCTTGTGCCACCATCTCAAAGAAAAGAAACTAGATGAAAAATCTGTCGAATGATATTTGTAGGTATATTTATATATTTCCACAATGGGATATCGTTTAATAATGATCTGGAAACAAGACGCCATCATTGTTTCCAGAAGTGTTAAATTTAATGAAGAAAAGAAGAAAGTAGAAAATCAAAAATATATTTCCGATAATTCTGATTTGAGTGAAAATGACAATGATGACATTGAAAATGAAGATAAATCAATTTCAGACACTGATAATGGCGAATTAAATGCTGCAAATAAGAAGGAGGAAGAAAGAAAATCTTCAAGAGAAAAGAAACAGCCAGTTAGGTATCCTAATCCTGAGATTTACCAAGTAATGTTTGCACAACAAGACACTCTGACATTTGAAGATATTGTAAATCTACCACAAGTAGAACAAGAACTATGGAAAAGAGCTATGGACGAGGAAATAAAATCTATGGAAGGTAACGACGTCTGGGACCTGCAAAGTTTACCCTCTGATAAAAGAGCTATTTCCTGCAAATGGGTTCTACGTAAAAAACGAGATGGAACTTACAAAGCCAGGCTTGTTGCTCGTGGCTTTATGCAAAAGGAAGGCGTAGATTATACAGACACATTTTCTCCATAGTATGTGCTCTTTACGTTTAATCCTGGTAATTATCAATAATGAAGGTTTGTAAACTTTTACTTTAGATGTCAAGACAGCTTTTTTTGAATGGTAAGTTAGATGAAATCATCTACATGGACCAGCCAAAAGGATATGATGATATGAGTGGTAAGAAATGTAAACTTAAAAAGAGTTTATATGGTCTTAAACAGTCTCCTCGACAATGGTATCAGAAATTTCTTAATTTTGTTATTAAATTAGATTTTAAGCAATTGGACTCTGAACGATGTATTTTCATCAGAAATTTAAATTGTAAGAAAGTAATTATGGCTCTTTATGTAGATGACTTATTAATTGCAGGTTCAGATGTAAAAGAAACAAATATTATAATATCATTGTTGTCTTGTGAATTTCAAATGTCAAAATCTGAAAGGGTCTCAGAATTTTTAGGCATTAGACTCAAATTTGAGTCTGATTGTTTATATTTAGATCAGAAACCATATATTGAAAAATTACTTGATAAATTTAAAATTTCTGATTGTAGAACAGCCCAAACTCCCATTGAACCAAAATCTACAGCAGCTGACTTTCAGAAAGGAAATGAATTTCATGGCCCACACAAAAAAATAATTGGATCTTTACTTTACTTGGCATATATTACAAGGCCAGATATTTTATTTGCAGTAAATTGCTTAAGCCAACTGCAGGAGCATCCTACTGATGTTGCCTGGTGTGCTCTAAAAAGAATTCTTAGGTACTTGAAAAACACTTTAAATTTAAAATTGATATACAAAAAGGGTGATTTGGAAAGGGCAAACTTATGTTTGTATGTAGATGCAGATTGGGGGGGGGAGATACTCATAGGAAATCAATTACTGGTTATTTTATAATGTTTTTAAACTGTCCTATTATGTGATGCTGTAACAAGCAAAAGTGTATTGCACTTTCATCAACAGAAGCTGAAATAATTGCTTTATGTAAAGGTTTTCGAGATGTTTTATGGATGAAAAATGTAGTAAATGAGATTTCCAGTGTTAAAAATGTTTATATTTTTGAAGATAACCAGTCATGGATTAAAAGTAACAAAACAAAATTCCATGAACTGTTATCATTGAGCTGTTTAAAAATTGTGTAATTCTTTTATGTTTTGTATAATGTGCGATTAAGGGGGAGTGTTGAGATATTTGTAATCTCATTCTTATTGGTTAGTAGAAGTATAGCTTTCTGTCACGTCTGATACATACATTAGCTTTCAGCCAGGTCCGAGTTATTCTGAAACTTAATCTCATTCTTTATGTTATTTTTGATTGGTTATTTATTGTGTCTTGTTTATGATTTGTTAAACCATGACCTGTTGTAAAGTTATATATATGACTCTGTAACCACTTATCTCTGCTTGTGCTTGTATTACTCTGCTTGCTTGTATTTCTTTGCATGTAACTCTGCGTGTATCTCTGCATATCTCAGTAATAAATAATTTTGCGAACCACGGCATTTTCTATGTTTAACACTTTCCAATGTTCATACTCTTCGCATAATTTTGAGACGGATATGCCTTTATCCATTTTTTGCAGCAATTTCACTTTTTGTGTGATGGACATCGAAACATGCTTTCACTTTGTAGATCCTTTGGCAGCTCCAGAACTGGAAACTCTTTTTGACATAATCAAAAGTTCAAGCTTAATTTTTATAAAATTGCTCTAACAGTCTGCAAAAAATAATAAGCTGGATCCATTAAGATTAATGAACAGCGCAATCTGCAACATTAACTGAAATGCCTTAGAATCAGTAAAGATAATTTTAGTCTAGCTTATACCGTCCGTCATACATTAAACACACATGCATAAATGCATTACACACATGCATAAAGCATACAAAAAAAGTTTTTGGCTTTGGAGTCTGGATTATAGATCATTCCGGATAATGGACGTCCGGATTACGGGCTTTGCACTGTATGATTTTTCTGCCTATCAGTTTTTCATGTTTTTGAAATAAACATTATTTTTCACCTGTCAGTTTTTTAATGTATTATACTCACCTTCTGCAGTGTAAAGCATATTAGGAAAAAGAAAGAGATTTATAGGATTATTACTTATTATCAAAAAAATTTTGTGCCTAAAATTAATTGATATGAATGAGATGCATTTATGCCTTAAGCTAAACAATTTTTAGAAATATTCTGCCTTTTTAGTAATAATTTAAGTAATTAAAAATTAATAGTTTATTATTATCTTTTTCCAGATGAAATGGTTAGATATTTTAATAAACAACCATTAAATGTGGACTAATTTTTTAGGTATATGGAAAATAATTTTGTACTAAAATTTTATTACAAAGTTTATAATACAGTTCATGTGCATAATTTAGCATATGGATTGAAACTTTCTTGAACTGAATGAGGAAGAATTTAAGTAATATGTGTAAAATAAGTTCTGATTTATATGACATGGTGTGTCATAATTTGTGCTAATCTCTTTAATTACAAGTAATTCATCATAACTATTAAAACTTTTCTAACTGCATTGTTCAAAATTTTATTTTAATTTTCTTTTGCAGAAACTGTTTCAAAAGAAAAGTAAACCAGGGCCAGAAAAGGAAAGTGTATTAAAATCTATATTTGATGCTTACCTTGCTCTTCTTGATTATATTGAATGGTGTAAATTGTATTATGGTAAGTTTGTTTGAAAATAAAAATATTACACTGATATTTCTTTCAGTATATCAAAACTTGAATTTTTGTTATATACTTCATATTTTTTTCCCAAGGTGATATGCAGTCTTCTCAATATAAAATACTTCCTGAGAAAGCAATAGCTACATTTATGCAGGTTGTACGAAATCCAGGGCAGTGGGATATCTTTGTTCTGAAATTAATAGAGGTTAGTATTAGCAAGATTTTTACCAAGCAGAGTTTTTAACATATTTATTATACGTTTGATTGTATACCTAATTTTTTTTTTTATAGATGTTGGAATTTAGTGATAGGTCTGATGAAATTGAAGACATGCTTATAAAATATATTGAATGTAATCCAGAGCATATCAATGCATATATATACCTCTGTGTATATCTTCATGATCATAATTCAGAGTCACCAAACTTCATCAAATATTTAAAGGTTTGTGCTTTATACAGTATTTTGGTTTGATTACTTTTTCTCCTATCTCTGTAATCATATACAAAACTGATTGAAAATTATCTTAATGTGTTTTCTTTCCTATTTCATAAATATTGCATTTCTTCTGTAATTATCTGTGGTTATACATGCAAACACTTTTTTTTTCAACATTTTGATTTTAGAAATAGTTCCTCCCATCCTACAACTATTATTCTTTTTATATATTAAAATTTGTTTACTTTCCTGTTGATGGTAGGTTTTAGCTGAATTGTGTCCTTCAGATATCAGAGTTCTTTTTTTAGTAGAAAAATTGATTATCTCAGGTAAGTTTGCAAAAATTATTTTTCGGTCATGTTTCTGATTCTTCCTTTTCTAGGTTTTCTCCTGCCATTTTTGTGAGATCATAATTTTAAATTCAGTTTGATGTGCCTGATTTCCATGTGTGTTTTCTGTTTTTTTTTTTTTTTTCACTAACTGAAATTCATGTACATGAATGGTTTTATTCATATACATGAATGGCTTATTAATATACATGAATATTTTATTAATATACATGAATAGTTCTGTCAAAATTAGTTCTTAGAGGATCCCTTAATAAACAAAACCAGGATTTTATAAGATATGTTTAATATTTTAAAATTTAATGTGCCTATTTTGAATGAATAGTGCCCACAAGTGGTTAAAATCATTGAACATTGGTAGTTTGATATGGGCTTGAACAGGGTTTGTAGCGATCCTTACAAGTGCTTATACGTCCTTATATTTGAAAATAAAATATAAAGGCCCTTATAGGTGCTTACTTTTTCTCTAAAGCATTTATTTTTTTTTTTCGTTATTAGTACCAAAGCCGAAACTAAATAAAGAACTTTTCTTCCTTATATGGAATGTCAGATGGTGAATCATACTCCCAGAAATAGCTTTTCATCCCTTTCTGTGCATTAACGTAACCTTTGGTGCGCCCTAGTGCAGACAGGTGCACATCGTTCTATTGGTCAAAGAATTGTGAAAGCGGTAGAAAATTTCAGTACGTTCCATATCCTTTTCTTCCCATCCAATACTACACATGTTTGAATTTCTATCAAGATTTTAATAATTTACATTCCTGTTCCGCGTGGTCAGTTCATATTCGCGTTTATTATGATTATGTGTATGAATATTTATAATAATATATGTACTATGATTCTAAACTAATAAGTGGACTGTATTAATTTAATTACTAACTAACTTATTTATTTACAGTAATTAACTATTCAGATCTAATACATGCTCTGGCATGTTGCTTAGTTGAATCCAGATGGCCAAGTGAGAGTTTCTCTGCTTATCCAATAGGTGGCGCTGTATTCTAACTGAACATGCCGCCGCCCATTGAAATTACAAATTTCAACAAACACACAATTTAACATTCCAAGAAAAACTAGTTCTACACTACAATATGAAATATGATAGATAATTTCATCATGAATATAATATAAAATAATGAAACATTTTAAAAACATAAACATTCACTATGCTACAATCAAACTTATTCTTAAACAATTACATTTTAATATAAAGCACAATTTTCAATAAGAACATAATAATGTAAGCTAAGCATTATTATCCTGGATAGGTAATAAACAAATTTTACTAATACATCGAATATACACACCATTTGATGTTTTCACTTTAACAACTCTGGCCTTATTATCTTAAATGACTTAATACCTGCTTCCCATAAACCACCGAAATTTGGTGCTCTAGGTGGAATTAGTTTCCAATTTATACCTTCAGATGTTAAGAAATCTGCTATATCAGAATTAGATTTAAGGACTAAACTATGCAATTTTTTCAGTTCTGATTTTGCACCAACCATATTAGTACCGTTATCTGACATTATGGTATTACATTTTCCACGTCTAGCAATAAATCTTTTAATAGTAGCAAGTAATGAATCTGTGGTTAAATCAGTTACTACCTCTAAATGTACTGCTTTAGTAGCTAAACATATGAATATAGCAACGTACACTTTTGCATAATTACCCTTTCTCTGATTTTTATACTTGATGAGGAATGGACCAGAAAAATCGAGTCCACAAGTATTAAATACAAACCCTGGATTAACTCTTTCACCAGGTAAATTTCCCATAAGTTGTTCACATACAATTGGTTTAACCTTAAAACATGTTACACATTCATGTACAACCTTTCGAGCTATATCTCGACCATTAATAACCCAAAATTTACTACGAACCTGATGCAATAGTGCTTGAGCACCAAGATGTAAATATTTAACATGGTAATACTGAAAAATTAATCTAGTAAATACATGATCTTTTGGCATTACATAAGGAAACTTTTGGTTGTAATTAAGATTACTATTGGCAAGTCTGCCTCCTACTCTCAGAAGAGAATCATTATCTAGAAATGGACATAAAAATTTTAACTTACTTTTGGAAGAAACACAATTCTTATTTTTTAAAGATAGAATATCCTTGCTAAAATGTTGTAACTGTACATACCTGATCATGATTTTCTCAGCGTCATCCAATTCTTTAACAGTTAGAGAACCTATTAAATTTTTTCCCTTACAATTGGCTATAAATCTACAAACAAAACTTAACACACAAATAATACGAATATAGTTATTACTAATGTTAAGAATATGATCTAAAACAAGGGAATTAGAGTTCACATTTAGATTAACTAAGTCATTATCCTTAAGTTTGAGTTCTTTGACGTATTCCACATCATCCATATCAGATGAAATTAATTCACAAGGATTAGTCAAAAACCTCTCCTTAGTCAAGAAAGTTGGTCCATACCACCATAAATCATTATGAAGAAGATCTTTAGGTTCAGCTCCACGTGATATCAAATCAGCTGGATTATTGTGAGTGCTAACATGGTACCACTCATGAACAGCAGTCATGCTTCGAATAACAGATACTCTATTAGCAACAAATGTCTTTAGTTGATAAGGTTCCTTCTTAATCCATGCTAACACTATTGACGAATCAGTGAAGTAATACACCTTGACAATAGGTAGCTGAATGGCCTCTAATATTCTTTTCATTAGTTTTACCAACAGAACTGCACCACAAAGTTCCAAACGAGGAATGGTAATTGACTTCAGAGGTGACACACGAGACTTGCTGCACAGAAGTCTTGATGAACATTCATTTGAAGATGACATACATTTCACATAAATTGCAGCACCATAGGCTTTCTGACTAGCATCACAGAATCCTATAATTTCTATTTGTTGTAATCCATTGGTTAGAACAAATCTAGGGATGCGATAATCGTTGACTATTTTGAGACTATGCAGAAATGCCTTCCATTCTTCAGAAGTAATTTTTAGGAAGAGGTGTATTCCAATTTAATTTTAGAAGCCAAAGTTTTTGTAGAAATATTTTAGCTTTTGTCGTAACAGGTCCAATTAAACCTAACGGATCAAAGAGGCGACCTATCGTTGATAAGACATCTCTTTTTCGTGCTGTTTCTTCAAGTCTTCAAAGTCAAGTATCTTTAAATCGTAAGAAAAACAGTCTGTAGACGTATTCCATGACATTCCTAAGGCCTTTGTAATCTGAGGCTTATCCGTAACTTGAAAGGAGTAATCCTGAGTAGCACTTTCTTTATTCTTCAATAATTCTGGATTGTTTGAACACCATTTGTGTAACTGCATTCCACCACGTTCTAGAAGACAGGTTAACTGTGTCTGCAACTCCTTGGCTTCTTGCATGGTATTAGCTCCAGTAATAATGTCGTCCACGTAACAGTCCTTCAGTATGGCTCTTGAGGCATGAGGAAAGTCTGTCGCTTCATCCATTGCTAACTGCTTCAGGACCCTTGTTGCAAGGAATGGTGCACTTGCTGTTCCGTATGTTACAGTCCTTAGACGGTAAGTCTGCACAGGACTACCAACTGATTCCTTCCACAAGATCAACTGCAGGTTTCGTTGAGATGGTTCAATAAGTATTTGTCTGTACATCTTCTGAACATCAGCTCCTAATGCATAGTTGTACTTTCGAAATCTAATAATAATAGAAAATAAATCTTCTTGAGGTATTCGCCCTTTCATTAATATTGAGTTCAGTGACTTTCCATTGCTAGTAGCCGCGGATGCATTAAACACAACGCGAAGCTTGGTAGAGGCTTTCTCTGGCCGATAAACTCCATGATGACTAAGATAATTGCAAGTCGATGTTTCAATTTCTTGAACTTCTTCCATGTGATTTAGATCCTTATATTCTTTAATAAAATTCTTATATAATGTTTTCATATTCGAATCACTTTCTAGTCGATTCCACACTTGATGCAATCTTTTCTCAGCCAGCGTTTTCGATTCTCCTAATTCTACACCTTCCCTTATGGGTAACTGAACTACATATCTTCCATCATTTTGTCTATAGTGAGTACGCTTGAAATGTTCTTCACAGTATTTTTCTTCTTCACTCAAAGCATCCTCGATATTTTCAATGGATTCAACTTCCCAAAATCTTTGCAAAATTTCTTCAACTCTTTCTTCACTATTTAGAACTAAACCACAATAATTTACTTCTGAGTTACTCTTGCATGCACCAGACGCGATATATCCAAAAACTGTTTCTTGAAATATCAACGGTTGATTTTCTAATTGAAATTTTCCTTCTTTTAAAATCTCAAAGAACAATTCGGCCCCTAGTAACATATCTATTTTGTTAGGTGTTCCAAATTGCGGATCCGCCAATTCAATATCAACGGGAATATTTAATGACTGCACATCTAAACACCTTGATGGAGTTACATTGGTTATTTTAGAAATAACCAAGCAATTAACTGATCTTACATATGTTAAATCCTTATTCGAAATCTGTACATCTAGTTGATAATTAATATTTATAACGTTCTCATTAATTCCGGATACAGATGCATAAATTCTTTCTTTCTTTATATTTAACAAATTAGCAACTCCTTCACACAAGAAACAACTCATGCTGCCGTTATCAAGTATTGCGCGAACTGGGATTCTTTTTCCTTCGGAATTGCAAATATATATTATTGCAGTCGCCAATAACACGTTTTTTCTGCGTGTCAAAAGACAACTTGATTGATTTTTATTAGAGACATCTGCGTTCTTGTTTATAATTTCGTCACTCGTTGCTTCCGTTTTTGTTTTGTCTAACTTATGTTCGATGGCGCCATTTCTGAGCAGGCGATGTATTAATGAATGGTGTTTTTTATGGCATTCCGAACATCTGAACTTAGAATTGCATTTTGCGATTAAATGTTCGTTACTGAGACAGTTTAGACACAATTTATGGGTTTTAACTATTTCATATCTTTGATTTGGATTTAATTTTAAAAATGAATCACATTTATGCAGTGGATGATTATTATTTTTACATATAACAC